AGGGGAGGAAGAAGAAAAAGCCTCAGTGCACTGAAGTTGGGCTCCGCCCATGTAGCATTAGCAGTATGGTATAATCCCCCGTCTGGCCTCTGAGTTCCCTCAGATTGCCTGCCTTACAGCTGTAATGGGCTCGGAGCTTTTCCTCAGTTTCCCAAGGGAGAAACCCTCCTTAACCAGAGAGAGAGAGAAAGAGAGAAAAGGTCGACCTGAGAGTTCCACCGTAGCTAGGCTGTGGGGGGTGGGTCTCTCCTGGAAAACAGACTCCATTGGAGTGCCGGACGCTCACGGTCACATTCCTAGGCAGCCTTTCCCAGTTTGGCACAACCTATACCAGTCTTGGCTCAGAAGAGATTGGGTCCCTTGGTGGTCGCCATAATGTTATGTGCCAGTGTCAAGGGTCCTTCACAGGCCAGAGAACTGGCTCGTGAGGCAGCTGAATGATGAGCCAAAGCCGGTATATGAAGTGGGATTTATTAGAGAGAAAGGAGAGGCTACAGCTAGGGAACTGCAGCGGAGCCTGGAAGCCGGTGGCTGGCTGCACAGGTGAAGGCTGGGGTTTTTATGGACATTCTTTTTTTTTTTCTTTTTTTTAAATTTTATTTTTTTATTCATATGTGCATACAATGTTTGGGTCATTTCTCCCCCTCCCCCCACCCTTCCTTACCCCCCACCCCCTCCCTCTCCCACCCCCACCCCCTTGATACCTGGCAGAAACTATTTTGCCCTTATCTCTAATTTTGTTGAAGAGAGAGTGTAAGCAATAATAGGAAGGACCAAGGGTTTTTGCTAGTTGAGATAAGGATACCTATACAGGGAGTTAACTCACATTAATTTCCTGTGCATGTGTGTTACCTTCTAGGTTAATTCTTCTTGATCTCACCTTTTCTCTAGTTCCTGGTCCCCTTTTCCTATTGGCCTCAGTTACTTTAAAGTATCTGCTTTAGTTTCTCTGCGTTAAGGGCAACAAATGCTATCTAATTTTTTAGATGTCTTACCTATCCTCATACCTCCCTTGTGTGCTCTCACTTTTATCATGTGATCAAAGCTTTTATGGACATTCTAACTCTGGGTTAGGTGGGTTTTTCTCATTGGCCATGGATTCGCGGGCTTTCTCAGGTGAACTGGTTTGGTTTGCACCTTTATTGGGGGAAGGGAACAATCTTGAGAGCATTTTGCTCATCAGCCCTGTGGCAGATTTGTATCTCTCCTTTAGGATGCAGGAATGCAGGCCTCCATCTCCTCAGGATACAGGAATGATATTGTCCTCCATGGGGGATGGGAAACTCACTCATCTGCCTTAGGTCTCCAGAACCAACACTGAGGAGGAGGATGGAATTCCTTCTCCCTCCAGGGTTGTCCTTTTAGGTTTACTTTGTAGGTAGGGCAACTGTTTTTTTCTCCCAGAAGCCTTAACAAGTTAGACCAGAAATGGCTATTGCAGACTGAGTCCTGTCAGAGCAGTGGATGCTCTCCTTCAAACTCCATTCCTCTGGAAGTGCACAAAACAGTCAAATCAAAGCAGTCTGAGCTGGCTGGACAAGAAACTAGGCTGACTGATCCTGTGTTCTCTAGACTCAGTTCTCTGCCAGAGAACCCCCTAACAACTGGTCTACTTCCTCTTCCCAGAATTCAGACTGCAACTCTCCCTATGACGTGTTTGCTCATGGCTTTTGTGTGTCTTTTCTATATCATGGTGTGCTCTACAGCAACTCTCCATGGTATGGCACTGCTACCTTGTGGGCTGTGACTCTCAGCTCATGGCTTGCACTTCCCACCCAAGTAGATTTGTGTCTGTGAATCTGAGTCCAAGTCACAACTCATTTCTTGGGTCTACACTGATTTCTGTAGTGGTCACTCGCTTAACCAGTGGAGTTAGGGGGAGGCCCCAATACTTTGTTTCAGATTTGTGGAGATGCAGGAAAGTGCCCCTGTCTCTAATCTGCCAGTGACAGTTTTTGTACAGGTTTTAGCTTGAACATAAATTTTCCATCCACTTGGGGAAATACCTAGACAATTTACAAATTATATGGTGAGTCTATGTTATAAGTAAATGTATGTAATGGTCTCATAAAGTTTAGCTTTATGAGGAAATGCCAAACTCTCTTCAAAAGTGACTGTACCATTCTGCATTTACTACATGTGTGATTAATGAGAATTCTTGTTGCTCCTCATCCTCATCAGCTTTTGATACTGCTCTTTTCTTTTGTTTTTGTTTCCCTGTGTGTGTGTTTAAACATTCTAATAGATGTGTAGTGGGCTCTAATTGTGGATTTTATTTAAATTTCCCAACAAATTGTTGGGTCTGGAGACCTAAGGCAGATGAGTGAGTATCCCATCCCATCCCATCCCCCATGCAGGGCAATATCATTCCTGCATCCTGAGGAGATGGAGGCCTGCATTCCTGCATCCTAAAGGAGAGATACAGATCTGACACAGGGCTGATGAGCAAAATGCTCTCAAGATTGTTCCTTTCCCCCAATAAAAGTGCAAACCAAATCAGTTCACCTGACAAAGCCCACGAATCCATGGCCAATGAGAAAACCCACCTAACCCAGAGTTAAAACGTCCATAAAAAACCCAGCTTTCACCTGTGCAGCGAGCCACCAGCTTCCAGGCTCCACTGCGCTTCTCTAGCTATAGCCTTTCCTTTCTCTCTAATAAATCCCACTTTATATACCAGCTTTGGCTCATCATTCAGCTGCTTCACAAGCCAGTTCTCTGGCCTGTGAAGGCAAGGACCCTTGACACCGGTACGTAACAAAATGATGTTGAATATCTCTCCACATGCTTCATCCATTTATCTCATTTGGTGAAGTGCTGTTTAGTTATTTTGCCCATTTTAAGTTGAGTTGTTTGTATAATTAAGTCACAGAGAGATGCATTCAGTATGACCCTATTTACACAAACTACAAAAACATACAAAAGCAAACAATATGTTGTTTTGTGTACAAATGCCTATGTTAAAACTATATATTTTAAAAAGTACAGTGAAATTGGTGGTAAGGCATTTTATTTCCATTTTTCTTCTTAATTTAACTTTTAAATTTGAGATTTTTGTATGATTATGATATAATATGAGCCAGGTACCAGTAGCTCATTCCTATAATCTTAGCTATTTGGGAGTCTGAGATAGGGAAGATTGTGGTTGAAGACCAGGCTGGGCAAATAGTTCATGAGACCTCATCTCCAAAATAACCAGAGCAAAATGGATGGAGGTATGGCTTAAGCAGTACAGTACCTGCTTTGCAAGTACAAAGCCCTGAGTTCAAACCCCCAGTCCCACTGGAAAAAAAAAAAGATATGATGCAGACAAATCCTTTGTGCCCTTTACCCCAATTAGAATATCTTGGGATGTAATATTGTAATCGTACAATATTACAACTAGGATATTGACATTGACACACTCAAGAGACAGATGATTTCTATCATCACAGATCCCCTTTTTCCTTTTATAGTATCCACTTACTTCCTGCCCTCCCATCCTTAACCCCTAGAAACCATTCAGTTCTCCATTTCTGCTTTCATCATTTGAAAATGTAGCATAAATAGAATCATGTTATATATCCCCTGCAAGTTGATATTTATCACACAGAATGATTCTCTTGAGATGCATTGCAGTTGTTTTATTTAATAATAGTTCATTATTTTCCATTGCTGATTATGGATGTAACAGTTTTCTTTAACCATTTACCCCATAAAGAGCATCTGGGTCATTTATAGTGTTTAGACATTACAAAAGTGCAATTATAAAATTGTATGTTTGGGTTTTCCTTGCTTTCAGATGAATGCTCTGGAATGCAACTGCTGAATCATGTACATTTAGTTTTCTAAGAAATTGCCAAACCATTTTAAAGTGTAGCTATATCATTTTACATTCCTACCAACAATGCACAAATGATACAGATTCTCTACATCCTTACCAGAATTTAATGTAGCCACTAGGGTTTTTTTGTTTGTTTGTTTGTTTGGTGGTGCTGGGATTAAATCCAAAGCCTTGTGCATGCTAGTTAAGCATTCTACCACTGAGTTACAGTACCCAGTCCCATTTTAGTTATTCTAGTAGGTATGTAGTTAATATCTTATTGTGGTTTCAATTTTCATTTCCCTAGTTGTTAATGAAGTTAAACACCTTTTCATGTGCTTACTTGCTATCTATATATCCTGTTTTCTGAAATAGCTCTTTATTTTTTTGACTATTTTCTAAGGGAATGATTTGTTTAATTAATGTTGAAGTTTGAGAGTTCTTAATATATTATAGATACTAGTCCTTTACTTGGAAATGTAGTTTGTCATTTTTTTACAAGTCTGTAATTTGACTTTTTATACTTGTCATGTGAACTTTCACAAAGCAACTTTTGATAGGGTCTAATTTGATTTCTTGATTTTTCCTTTTATAGATCATGATTTAGTGTCAATTCTAAAAGCTTTGCCTAACTCCTAAACATTTTCTGCTATGTTTTTCATAAAATTTGTAGCTTTATGCTTTACATTTTTTTTCTACCACACAAACCACTTTATTACATTAGTCTCTGTGAGAGATTATATATCACTTAAGTGGTCTCACCAATAATGTGATCCTATCTGCAATCAGCAGTTTCAAAAATGAGATTATATACCTATATGCAATGTACAATACAAATATTTCACCTTTAATTTCTAAAGTATGCTCGTTCACACTGACTGACTAAAATGTACATGAACATTCTTTTATGATGGCCAGAACATTGCCACTATTCCAACTATACAAAAAAGGAAACAGATGGAAAATCATGTTAAGGGGATTCCTTACCTGAAATTACAAAACTAAGTGTATGTGTATATATCTTTAAATCCCTCTATTCCCATAAGATCTGCTCTTCTTGCAGTCTCCTCTCAATGAAACCTTCCTGTCACTCACTTCTGTCTCTTTTACCAGCCCCCCATCTCCAGTCATCATCTTGCTGAGTTTCTCTGGGATTGATCTCTTCTTTATCAGTGTTCTCTTTTTAAATTCCATTTCTTCATAAATCTGGCATGTAAGATTTTAATTGTTCTGTCATAGTTTTCTCTTCTTCAGTCAATGGTGACAACTCCAGGTCTGTCTGCTTTTGTAGTTCTTGTATCATGGTCATGGTCTTATTCAAAGTAGCACAAATGCTGCTCTTAGTTTCTTTCTGCTCAACAGCAACTGGTTTAAAACATGCATACAAAGTTTGATATCGAGACTTTATTGCTGACAATTCCTTTACAAGGGTAATCGGATTTTTCTTGCCTGGTGAATCAGGATGATTATTCTTGATTTCATATTCCAGCCTATACTGAATGTAATCCAGATCAGAGTCAGCTTTCTGGAACATCAGTTCCAGCTTATCAACCTCCACCTCCATGTTGAATAGTATGCTTTACATTTATAATGGATTCTGAGCTAATTTTTGTATAAAGCCTAAGATTTAAATCAAAGTTTTTGCTGTTGTTTAATTTGATTTTCGGGGCTTGGTATGGAGGTGGGTTTTTTTATTTATTAGATTTTTTTTTTTTTAGTTGTTGCAATTGGAAAAAGTTTCTCCAGCACTTTCTGTTGCATCCTTGTTCACTGAAATATTTTTACACTTCTATTACAAATCAGTGTGATAACTACACAAAATTGAAGAAGAGAAAAGATGGAGGATAGACACTACCTGATTCTAAGACTTGCTATAAAACTACAATAATCAATTACATAGTCAAACTGGGTGTGCTGGTGCACACCTATGATCCCAGCTCCTAAGGAGGCAGAGGTAGGAGGATTATAGCCTGAGCCCAACCTGAGCAAAGTTTACACAAGACTCAATCTGAAAAACAAATGAAAAAGCAAAAGGACTAAGGTTTGGCTCAAGTGGTAGAGTTCTTGCCTAGCTAGTTCTAGGCCAAGAGTTCAGTCTCCATTACTGGAAAAACAGAAATAAAAACACAAACAAAACACAAGATAAGGAGAAGACAAGCCACAGATTGGAAGAAAATATTTGCAAAACAAAATGTACAAAGAACTGTTCAAACTCAACAATATGAAAACAAACCGGCTCCCCCCTACTCTCGCCCCCCACATATCCACTCAGGCTTTGGCCACAGGATGTAGAACCTCTACATTCACTTTGAGGGGCACGCCACAGCCCCCAAAGGCAACAAGGTTCACCTTCCATGTGCACCTCTGTTTAAACTCCTGACACAGAAGCAGAAGTTTTGGGTTGGGGTACAATAAGCCAGATTTTAAAAATTAAACAAATTTATTAGTATATGATAATACTATCAAACACTGTACAGGGGATTTCGTTGTAACATTTCCATATACATGTATTTTTTTGTGGTGCCATTTAAAATAGTTTTATTTATTTCCTTACATATATATATGTTTTATTATTGTAGAGGGGGTACATTGTGACATTTACAAAAGTTCTTATAATACATTATAGTTGAATTCACTCTCTCTGTCATTCTCCTTTATGCCCCTCTTTTCCTATTCTTAGAATAGTTTCGACAGGTCTCATTTTTCCATTTTCTTACATGAGTACATATATACATATATTATACTCCAGTTTGGTTTTTTCCCTCTATTATTCTCCTTTTTTCCCCACTTCCCTTCTTAAAATGACTGACAGGTTTCTATGTTCCATATTCATACATATATAGAAAGTACATTAACCCTATTCACCCCCTTTACCCTCTTAAGGGGAGTACCCTCCCTTAACATGTCCTGTTTTACATTCCTGTCCTTCATCGTTTAAGTCTGTTCATTGTTCAATGTGCTTTTGCCTGATAGAATACCAGGCAAATATACTTTAATCAGTCTAACCCCCTCTATTATTCTTCCTTACCCTTTCTCCCCCTACTTTGTATTATTCAACAGTTTTCAGTGCATTTCACTGTGTCTTGTTCCTATACAGATGTGATGTATTTCAATCTTATTCACCCTTTATCAGTCTATTCTTCTTTTCCTCCTCCCCTAGACTCCTCTAACAGTCCACTTTTGGAAATATGTGTATGTGTGAGTGTGTGTATCACATTTTCTTCATCATTTATAGGGCAATTTGGCTGTCTCTATAGCTTGGCTATTGTGACTAATGCTGCAATAAACATGGCTGTGCAAGTGTTTTTATTCTATCCTGACTTACATTCGTTTGGATACATGTCTAGGAGTGGTACTGCTGGATCATATGGCAGTTCTACTTTTGGTTCTTTGAGGAAACTCCATACTACTTTCCATAGTGGTTGTACTAATTTACATTTCCATCAACAGTATATAAGGGTTCCTTTTTCCTTGCATCCTCCTGAACATTTCTTGTTTGTGCTCTTGATGGTAGCTACTCTAAAAGGATTGAGGTGGAAACTTAGTGTGGTTTTGATTTGCATTTCCTTTATGGCCAGAGATGGTGAGCATTTCTTCTTCTTCTTTTTTTTTTTTTTTTTTTTTTTGGGGCTATTTGTATTTCTTCCTTTGAAAAATTTCTGTTTGACTCATTTTCCCATTTCTTCATTAGGTCGTTGATTCTTTAGGAGTTTAGTTTTTTGAGCTCCCTCTATATCTGGTTATAGCTAGCAAAGATTTTCTCACATTCTGTGGGCTGACTCTTTAGTGACTTTCATTTGCTTTTTAGTTTGACATAGTCATGTTTGTCAATCCTTTCTCTTAATTGCTGAGCCACTGGAGTTCTATTTAGGAAGTTATTGCCTATGCTTATATATTTCAGTGTATTCCCTACTATTTCCTGTAGGTGTTTCAAAGTTTCAGGGCTTATTAAAAGAGCCCTGAAAGTCTAAAGTCTTTATTAAAAGACCTTAGTTAAGGTCTTTGATCCACTTTGACTAGATATTTGTACAGGGTGAAAGACATGGATCTAGTTTCATGTAGATGTCCAGTTTTCCCAGCAACATTTGTTGAAGAGTAAGCCAGTTTTAAAATGGACAAAAGATCTGGGCATGGTGGCTCACACCTATAATCCTAGATACTTGGGAAGCAAAGATTGGGTGGATTGCAGTTTGTGGCCAGCTTGGGTAAAAAGTTAGCAAGACTCTATCTCAAGAAACAAGCTAGGCATGGTGGTGTACTTCTGTAGTTTCAGCTATTTGGGAGGCTTAGGTAGAAAGATCATAGCTGGAGCCAGCCTCAGGCAGAAGTGTGAGACCCTACCTGAAAAATAACTAAAGCAAAAATGGGCTGGAGGCATAGTTTAAGTGGTAGAACACCTACCTAACAAGCACAAGGCTCTGAGTACTGCCAAAAAAAAAAAAAAAAAAAAGAGAAGAAATCTGTATAGATCGTAAATTCATTAAATAAGATATGCAGTTGCAAAGTAAGATATAAAATAGACAAGCCTGTGCAAATATTCTCAACATCATGTCATTAAGGAATTACAAATTAAAAAAAAAAATGAAGTGGGTGCTGATGACCCACACCTATAATCCTAGCTACTTGGGAGGCAGAGATCAGAAGAATCTAGGTTGGGCTGGTGGAGTGGCTCAAGTGGAAAGCACCTGCCTAGCATGCATAGGCCCTGAGTTCAAATCCCAGTACCACCAAAAAAAAAAAACCAGCAAGAAACCCCAAAGAAACAAAAAAAAAACAATGAAATACCACAATACACTTATCAGACTGGCTAAAATTCAAAACACCAAGAATACTAAATGCTGCGGAGAATTTGGAGCAATTGGAACCCTCATTCGTTGCTGAGGGGAATACAAAACAGCATAGCACTGGGGAAGATGTTCTGGCAGTGTTTTACAAAGCTAACCATAGGCTTATGGTATGATGTAGCATTACTAATCATAGATAGTGTTTACCCAAATGGATTATGTCCACGTAAAAGCTGAATATGGATGCTTACAGAAACTTTATTAACAATTGCCAAAATTTGGAAGCAACTAAGATATGCTTTGATATGCAATAATAAAGCTATGAAAAGTCATGGAGGAACCATAAATGCATATTGCTAAGTGAAAAATGCCAATTTGAAAAGGCCACATATTGTATAATTCCAACGATGTGAAATTCTAAGAAAGGCAGAACTATAGAAACTGTAAATGTATTAGTGGGGCCTAGATTTCAGGGTAGGGGAAAGATGAACAGATGAACCACAGGGCATTTTCAGTCCAGTGAAAGTTTCTATACGATACTGCAATAATGGATACATGTTTAATAGTATACATTTGTCAAAACCTATACAATCCCAAGATCAAACCCTAACATGAACTATCAATTGTGGTTAATAACAATGGATCAACATCTGCTCATTAGTTTAAGAAATATTAAACACTAATATAAGATGTTAGCAGGAGAATTCGCAGGTGCAGGGAGGGCACAGGGATGTATGGGATCTTTACTTTCTGTGCCACTTTTCTATAAAACTAAAACTGCTCTAAAATAATAGTCTTTTAAGAAAAAGTCACTTAGGTATATTTATATGAGTCTATTTCTGGGTTATCTTTTCTATTCCATTGATCTATGTTTCCTTCCCTCTGCCAAACACCTTAGTACGGATCATTATGATATAGTAAGTTTGAAATCAGGTAGACTGATTTCTAGCACTTTATTCTTTTTAAAAATTATTTTACCTATTATGTTACTTTTGCCTTTACATATAATCTTAGAATAACCTCATATGCCTACAAAAAAAATCTGCTGGGATTTTGACACAAGTGTGTTAAACCAGGTGTCAATCCCAGAGACACCTGATACATTTGCTACGTTGAGTCTTCCAGTCTATGTGGCTATCTCCTTTTATTTAGGTTTTCTTTAATTTCTTTCATCAGCATTTTGTAGTTTTCAGTGTGTAATTCCTACATGTGTTTATTAAATTTACACCTAAATCTTTGCTAAGCATTCTTATCCTTAGTTGGAGGAGTTTATTTTTGTAGATTTTTTGGGATTTTCTACGTATTGTAGACAATTGTGCTATTTGCATCAGAGATAGCTTACTTTCTAGAGTAAGCTATCTTATCTTTCTAGAGATAGCTAGCTTTCTTTCTAATCTGAATGCCTGTCATTTCCTATTTTTTGCTTTATTGTACTTTATCAATTACTAAAGAAAATTATTCTGACACTTGTTAAAACAGAAAGATTTCATTCAGCACTGTTGCAATAGAAAGAAAAATAAGATTCTAAATACAACAAAAACAGCTGAGGATTTACAGTCAACAATCCAAATGAGGGGTCAATGGATTGAAAATTACTAAAGGAGACATCAACAGTATGGGGGAATCTTGCTTACCTGACTTAAAAAAATTCTTGCCGAAGGCAGGTGATCAAGATGAAAATTTGCTTGGAAGGTATTTAGCAGGATTCTTACTAAAACTGGACTAGGCCTGCTGAAGACAGTACCCAAGTACAAAATCTAGTCAAAAAGAGGCCCAAGCT